AATAACTTTCCCTTAAAAAATTAACCTCTTCAAATAACTCCTGTTAAATTGCCTTTGCCGGAATTTTTAAATTTTGTAACCTTTTTAATAAATTAAGCAAATAAAATTAATAAAACTTAAACATAATAAGGTAAGTGACTGTAAAATAATTTTTAAAGCATAATATTTTTAGTTGCTTTAGAAAAAAAAAAAAAAATTATATAATAGGCCAAAGGCAGGGAAGCAACTGTGGATCCTTCCAAAACAGAAAAAAAAAAAAAAAAAAAAAAAAAAAAAAAAAAGGTTGTGTAACTGATACGGAATCCAAGATCAATAATGTGATCAAAGATTTACACATGCATAATTAGTATCAAAAACTTAATCCATGAATAAACTCATTCTATTTAACCTACAATCAATCTGTGATTAAAACTAATATCATAAGGATAATTGAATTAATTAGAACGCTACTAACCTTAACAAATTAAAATTAATTTAAGAAAAGATATTGATGAAAACACTACAAGTTACTATTGATAAATAGATATTAATTCCCCACTCAACAAGAAGGTTAAAGAAAACCTCACTAGTTGAAAAATTAAAACTTTATAATTTTATTATTCTCAAATTTGATTGATTACAAGTAAGAATTGAATGTTTATTTGTAATTGTTGGCCATGCAAAATACAAAAAAATAAATCCTCTCAACTAATTATAGAAATTACATAAAAAATTATATCTTGACTTAAATAAAAATAATAATAAAAATTAAGGGGATTATAACCAAACTAAGCTAGATAGGATTTCCCTTAATGAAAATCTTTAAATGGCGAGGATCTCTTAAATTGAAGAACATTTTTTTTAAGATCTCTCAATTTTAGAAATATCTCATAAAGATTTCTTAATTTAAAGAAGATCTCTTGAGGGATCTCTTAATTTAATGAAGATCTTTAGATTCCTTAAGAAAGTTAATCAGTTCATGATCTTGTGATAAATATTTAGAATCTATCCATGACTTTCCTTCATTTTACGCATATGTGAATAAAATCTTTTAAAAAGATATGATCTTGGAGTAGAAACTTAGAAATATATGATTTTGATTCTCTTTTGATGGATTTCCAACATTCCTTGATTTTGGTTTCCTTTTTGCCATTTGAGAAAGAAATGAAGAGAAAAATAAACTTTTTTCCCTTAGAGAAAATCTCTTTAGGTCTTGAAAATACTAATAAATTACCTTTATTTTGTGATTTATCTGATGATGTGGATAAACCTATTACCCTTAGAAAATGAGTCAGGTCTTATACTAAGCAGCCTATATCTAACTTTGTTTCTTATGACTTTCTATCTTTATCATATATGATCTTTATCCTGTATGCTTCCACTATATTTATTCCACATGATTGGAGAGAAACTCTAAGGGATTCCAAACGGAAGGAGAGCATGATTAAAGAAATGAAAGATTTAGTAAAAAAAATGAAACCTGAGAACTTATTTCACCTCCACTAGAAAAAAAAAAGATAGTTAGCTACAAACGGGTGTTTACTGTGAAACATAAAGCAGACGAGTTGATTAAAACATAAAGCAGACTAGATTAGTAGCTAAAAGATTTACTCATACCTATGGAGTAGACTATTAGGAGACATTGCACTTGCTGCGAAGATGAATACAACCAAAATATTGTTATCTTGTGTAGCCAACTTTGATTGGGATTTAAAATAGTTTGATGTGAAAAATATCTTCCTTCATGGAGACTTAGAGAAAAAGTATACACGGACATTTTCCCTCGATTTGAAGATGAAAGAACACAAGGAAAAGTTTACAAATTAAAGAATCCTTATATGGGTTGAAGTAGGCTCCAAAAGTATGTTTTAAAATGTTTAAAAGAATTATGATCTCTTTTAGATATCAACAAAGCAATGCTAATCATACCATGTTTATCAAACATTATAAGAATAAGGTCACTCTTTTCATTATTTATATAGATGATATTGTTGTGATGAAGATGATATAAGAAAGAATGTTCGATTAAAAGAACTTCTTACTCAAGAATTTGAAATAAAAGATCTAGAAAAACTGAAATATTTCTTAGGAATTGAAGTTGTCAAATCTAATAAAGGGATCTTCATTTCTCAAAGAAAATATTTTCTAGATTTATTAGAAGAGACTAATATGATGGATTGTAAGCCGGCAGAATCTTTTATTGAAAGTAATCTCAAATTAAAAGTATGAATTAGTATCTTAGTAGACTTTGGGAGATATCAGAGATTAATTGAAAAACTCATTTATCTCTCATATATCATATCTGAGATACCATATGCAGTTAACCTGATGAGTTAGTACATGCATGATTCTCATGAGCCTCATTTATATGTTATTTTTTGCATGTGATTTTTAAAATTTGTACCATGAAAATGTCTGTTCTTCTGCAAAAACGGTCACTATAAGATATAAGTATTTACATATGTTGATTTTGTTGGATCTCCAAATGATAGAAGGTCAACTACTGGTTATTGTACACTCATAGAAGGCAACTAGGCTACTTAGAAAAGTAAGAAGCATAGTGTAATTGTTAGTTTTAGTGTTCAAACAAAATATAGAGCAATATAACCGAATAAGGCATATTAAGTTTGATCAACACTTCATAAAAGAGAAAGTTGTTGATGACTCCTTATGCCTATATCATGCATCTTTTAGTGAACAGACAATAAATATTTTCACTAAAAAACTTTATAATAAATTTTTCTATAACTTACTTTGCAAATTGGGTTTGTTTGATATTTTTGTACCAACTTGAAAGATAGTGTTTACTAAAATATTTCATTTTCCATTAGTCAATATATTTTTCCTTTATAATCTTTTTTATAATGATGTAATTAATTAGTACAATTATTATAATCTATAAAATAATATAAATTTTCTTATTTGTGATAAAAATTCTATATAAATACTCCAATTATAATATCACAAGTGATATGAGAAAATAAAAATAAATAATTATTTTTTCAAATTATACAATACATATACAGAGCGAACAAAGAGCCACTCAGTTCCAAAGAAAAATGAATCTGCATTATGGACTGAATCCAAAAATCGGCTTAAAGTACAGTATACAGGCCTCAAAGAAATGTGGTTACAACCATAAGATTGCATAAATCACAACATGATAATGCACGGCACAAGTAATTGTATTAGTGTACAAGTGTTGGCAGCTTCTTGTTAGTTGCATTTCCTCCTGCTGGTACGCGTATCACCTACAAAACTGAGAGGTCACCTTCTGAACATCTGCAATTAGATAAAAGTTACTACGTGTGCGTTGCACGAGTGAATTGGCTTCAACAATGATTCACCATTCATCGAAAGCACATGCCGGCCAACTACCAGTGGCCAAAGTGCTCTAAGCCGGATAATTTACAGCATCTTGTTTCCTCTACTCCTTGAGCATTTACAGATTGTCTTCTATTTCATCTGGCACATGCAACTTTTCAATGGCAGCCTGTTTAAAATTTTGAGACGAGAAGGAATGTAAATGGAAACTCAATTTTATATAACATAGGAAAAGAGCAATCAATACCATTTACAGTTCAAAGCAAAACTAGGAAGATGCTTATTTAAAAATGATTCCATTAGTTGAACCCTTATAAACGATTTCAATTCCCACCCATAGTTTTTGTGAAAGATTTGGAAGTTAAAGAAACCACTCAAGAAACCACGTGCACCTTCATCTCAACTCTAAAAACCAACCACCTAGGAAAATTGGTTCATCATATAACTAGTCACAACTTTTTTTAACAGAAAAAACTCAAGTATTACATTTAAAAATAAAAAGATAAAATAATAGGGGAAATTACCTTTATGATAGCAACATCTGTTGCAGATGGTTTTAAGTCCAAAGCAAGACCAAAATGAAGCATTGCTTTCTCATACATGTTACACCGCTTAAAGATCTTCCCCATCAAAGCATAAACACTGCTTTCGCGAGGTGCATATTCTTTAAGTTCCTCCAGGACCTGTAGAGCTTCATTTAGTTTTTCCAAGCTCACCAGTATATTAGCCTTCTGATACATGGGAAGAGGGTTCTTCTTGTCAGCCAAAATTGCCCTCTCCATCATTTCAATAGCTTCTTCACTTCTCTGTGAGAAAAATACAACTTCAGATGGCTATAAAAGATGCCATTCCTTCCTTCTGTCTCTTATAGATCAGATATAGTAAGTTGTCTATAAAAAAAAGTGGCCTAACCTTTAAGGCATGCAATGCTGTACCCAGATAAGACATTATAACAGAAGAACGTGGATTTATTAGGAATGCCATTCGGAAGTTATGCTCAGAAAACTCAAACTTCTCTTGCCGAAGAAAGATCATTCCAAGTCCATACCAAGCATTATAATGCCTAGCATCAACTCTTAGAGCATTCTGATAGCATTTAATTCCATTCTCAAAATCCTCCAAAGCTACATATCTAGAGAAAACATGATCAGTATTCAGAAAGCTTGAATAGCAAAGTTAAAAGACTAAATCATCAACATCAAAGTTAATAACATAGCATCTGATCTTTAATAACAGTAAAGATAATTGCTCATACTCATGGCCACACAGCGTGTGTGCATAGGCAAATCTTGAATTCAGTTGCACTGCTCGCTGGAAATTTTTCAGAGCAGTTTCATGGTCTTTCTGTGAGCTGTAGCAGTTTCCCATGGCACACCTGCATGTACGTGCAATTAAATGATGTTAATGACAACACAGCTGCAGTTGTTAACACAATTCTCGCTGGCTTTTGGATTATTAAATTTACGAGAAATGCATTCATAAAATGCACATGAGACAGCTTGAATCATGTAAAATAAGACTTTAAAATGATTAAAGAAGCTGTACAAATGCGTGGATGTGTTCAAAGACAAAAATTCACTAGATAAGTGAATATGAGGATTCAGGATCCAAGATTTCAGATTTAATAGCAAACTAATAAGCTCATTAAACATATAAACGAAGGTTTTCATTAAGGGACCAAAAGACTGAGAAAGTAACCAAAGTTAATTATGAAAAGGACCATTTTAGAGGGTGGAAAATTGAGATGTAGTAAATGAAAAAATCAGCTAAACTTTGGCAGAAGATGAATCAAAGAAATCCTCCAAGGAAAAAGACTCATATAGTAAAAACTGAAGTTTTGCTTATGAAAAAGGGAATCTGAGAAAATTCTGGTAGATGTACACTTGTCACCATAGGGAAGTCGAGTACAATACCAAGCTTGAGGAGCTAAGCGGTCAGTTGATATCAGTTCCTGAGCCAGATAACTCAACTTCATATCTTCCTTCAAATGCTGCAATAGAACAAAATCAATTCAACTGCAGTAAGAAAGAATATATAACAAAGGATAAATTTGTGCCAGAACCATTGACAACTATGAAATAAGTGACGTATTGCCAGGACAAAAACTTCACCATAACCTGAATTCCAGAGGAGGCATGCAAATAGTTTGAATATGACAAGAAATCTTCAAAAGATAACAGAACTCACATAAAGAACAGTAGAATATACATCCATTCCTTCTAAACTATAACGCGAAGCCCGACGGGCAAGACTGAATGCTCGATCTGCTTCTAAATAATCTACCCAATTCAAAATATGCTTTTCCAACCTGTAGTCAGTATGTCATTTAACTTTGTTAATAACAAGAAAAACAGGCGTTATTGCTTGATTTGAAAAAAATTGTCATAATTGGATGATGGAATTATAAATTATTAAATAATTACAGCTAGAGGATATACATTGCAGAGTTAAAGAGACAAATTTATAGGACTTCTTCGAAAATTATAGTAATTTCTATCGCAATCTTTTACAAGTCCACATCTAATGTGAATATAACTGTATTAAATGAGTTTCGGATATAAAAGTACATGACAAGCAAAGTAGAAGATAACACAAAATCCAGAGAAAGATTAACTGTTTGATTGACAAGCTGCCAGCATTACCTGTGAGAGGACCCAACCTGTATTATAATGCTTGTACGGAAGTTTTAGATAGATGTCCAGAGCCTCCTGTACTACCCGGAAATTTTGCTCAGATAATCAAATACAACCCCTCAAACAAAGTTTAACAAAAACAAAATAACCAAATCAATTACCTGGCACCTGTACATACAGGAATATCTGAAACCTTCCCCAAGAATTCTCAGAAGGCTCAATATTTCCGAAGCACCTGTTGTGATTTTTGAGGCACTTAGAATAACTCCAGCTATCAGTACATTTGCTCCTTGTTCATGGGACTTCACTTCAGCTGAAGCCAATGACGTAGAAGTCGTTGAGGAAGTATTTGAATGAGAATCATCAAAAGCTTCATTCCTCATTCCTAAATATATCAGAATTTAAAACTTTTAGTAGTCTAAAAATAAAATAATAAACGACGGAAAGCCATAGACGATGGAAACACTAAATGCACATAGCATTTGGGTATAAGCTATTCTTACCTAGAGTTGCCAAGATATGGCACACATGAAAAGTTAAAATTTTAGAAAGAATTTGCAGTCAAAGAACTGGGTGTTTTTGCAAAAGAAGATACAACATGATATAAGATTAAAAATGGAGAAAAAGAAAAAAAAAGAAAAGAAAGAACCAGTCAAGGATGCATCAATTGAAATGAAGTAAAGTAATCAATTTAAATTACCATCACTGTTCTTAATAGAGGAGGCTAATCTATGAAGGGGTTAAGAAGAAAAATCAAAATTTACCCATTCACCCAAAAACAGATAATATTCACATCAGTCAGTGATTGCTTTAAAAAAAAAGAATAGTACAGCTTTATCGGTTTTATGTCTATTGCCCTATCCACATATATTAAGGGTTTATGACCTTCATCAATATTTTCATTTGTCCAAGACTGTCCCTTACGAACTGTAACAGAACGAAGTGCCACCGAGCTCAACTTGGAGCCTCCCAGATATTTTGAAGAGTTGTTAGTCCCATTTCCAGTTATTGCTGTGATGCTTGCACTGATATTAGCCCCTGCTTCTCCTGCCAGTCTTATACTTCTGCGGGGACCAGAATCAGAGAATAGCCTGCCTGATATCTGAAACTAAAAGAGGAAAACTAATTTCAAGGTAAAAAAATCAAACTGCACATGGATATATTTACTGCAAGCACTAAAATGATATACTAAGCATAACTGGTGTTATGAGAATTAAAGGAAATTAAACAAACAGGAATACAGAAGGACATGCTCGACGTTCAGTCAATATGGCAAAACAACTATGCAGATCACAAAATGAAAATAGGAAGTTATTAACAACATAATTGACAAAATGATCACATTGACAGAGAAATCTTGGTGCCACTGTAACAAATTATACTAGGATGGAAAACTAACCTATCTCCTTAGTAACATATAAATTGAATATAATCACCAACTGAAACTACTTCAATAAAAGAGAAATATCATCCAAAGACCTGACTTCAACATTTCACACAGAATATGTTTTCTGCACCTAGCAAATGTGGCCCACATGCATTTAATAATTTGGATAAAAACATTAAGATAGGACATTTTATATGTAAACTGGTCAATAAGAAGCATTACAGCAATTGCGTGGTCCTTCATTGATTGACATCTAAATTCTCAGGAATATAAATTCAAAAAGATAAAACACAAAAGTACACAACCTTTCGAAGTTTTCCTTCATCCACAAATTTTCTTCGGGGTGCTTGAATAGTAGAGATCACTGTTGACCTCGGAGAGCTATCAGAACCAAGAGCACTGGGGTTCGGTCCATTAGGCTGCGTGTTTCTACAAAGAGGTGGTGGAGGGACTCCTGACAACTACAGAATCAAGCAGAATTTATATCATTATCTACCCATGCTTCTATAGAACGGCAGAAACTGGCAAACTAAGCCCGACATTCTTGTCCGCAATCCAAAAGCAAATAATAATATAACTGAAAGTGGTGAAACACCATAATTAGTAAAAATAAGTCGCAGATAAAAGGAATGAGATAAAACTTTTTTAGTTAAGGACCAGTCTGCCCTTTTTGGGAAGAATTTAAATTAAAAAAAAAACACAACACAGTAAACTTTAATAAACACACAACAAAGCTAATGAAAAGTGAAAGGAAGAAGAAACAAGTTACTGAACCTAGAAGCAGTAACTCAAAATAATCAAAGAAAATGTAAATAAGGAAACTCACAGGAAACTAGAAAGACCAAGACTTACTCAAAGGGCTGTAAAATTGTAGAATAAAGTCCGGTCATGGTGAAGAACATGCACAACACACAGGTTAAACTAAATTAATGTGCTTCTCACTGTGTGGAAATCCAAAAATACTAATCCGTACCATTTAAGAAAGAAGATAGTTACTAATTGCTACCATTTTGTAATTCAAAAATCAAAACATACTTGACAGCTCTTATTGCAAGGGAAAAGGAATGCAAGTCAAGAAAGCAATCAAGCTCATATAACTCAGCTCTAAAATGTTTTTCATTTAAGTTTCTGTAGTGAAAATGAGATTAACAATTTAACACAAAATAAAATAGAATAAAGATAGTCCCAAATCTACTCAAACTAATTTTTGGGTGTTTCTAGGTTTTCTTTATTCAATTTGTTTCTTTGTTGGGTTTTTCTAGATTTTTTTTTTTTTTGTTAGGTTTCTTTTTTGCCTGATTTCCAAGAGAGGGGAGCAAAAAATCTAAAAGAAGTAATTTACGCTTCAACAAGCAAAGGAATATGTTAAATAACAGATGTCATTATTTGTTGTATTAATTGGACATAATATAACAATACATGTAGTTAATTTCTTCAATTAAAAGGTAAAAGACTAATTTGGTACAAATGATAAAGTACAATGCCGGGTTTTGGTAATAACAAACAATTTCGACAAAGGAGGGCTAGACCAAATTGTGCCAGTAATGACTACATCGACATTAACCTTATATGTGAACTTTCAGCGACAAATGAACAGAGGGATGGTGCAAAATGCATAAAGTCATTCCTGTTTACAATTCAAAAGACATTGAGAGACATAGATAATTATAGATCAAATTAAGGAACAGACAAATTAAAGAAGCAGTTCTACTTCAAGCATGGGACTGACTGACAGAGGCATCCTCCAATGAACAAAATAAACAGGAATTCAATCAGAGTAAATTATTGGGAAATGAGCTATTTACTGAAGGAGCGGAAATTAATAGATCACCAAGAGAAAATCAAGTATTCTTACAGTTTTTTTCAAAATTAATTATAAATTAAAGGATGAGATTATTAGCAACTGTATAACCTGTTTCTTTAGAAGAATTTTACACAGAACTATATTAGATTAAATCCCATTCCGATCATCTTACCTGTGAGGCCATCGGGGAAGGAGTATTATAGAATGACATGTTTGAAGAACTACCATTTAGAGTCTGAGTAGCAGCCCCACTCAATAAACTTGTTCCATGATAATTTCCAGAGATATCTCTAAGGTTATTGCCTTGCATGTGTTTCAATTGTCTTGAACTGAGGTCTTCTAAACCAAAATTCTTTGCGGGAACCACGTTGTGATCTTCATTGGATGTATTCGAGTTTTGGGTAGCTGATGCTTGATGTGAATACTGCTTTTCAACAGAGAGAGCAGCTGCTTCCCCAAAAACTGCAGTTGCTTCTTCAGCAGCACCTGAACAATTCAACAATAGCAACTTTTGAGCATGGGAGAACATCTAAAATAAGCATCAAATGCATGGAAGCAGCTTAAAATAAGCATATTAGCAAAAGAATTAAATGTACCTTTTTTTAGGAACAAGAACTAAATATAGTTCATTCACATATAAGAGAATAAAAAAGAAAAAAAAAATCAGTTCAGTGCCAGAAATGGATATGTTTCACCTCAGTTGATCTAGATACTTAGTGCTAACTGAAAAGTACTTCCAATTTGTGCAGCATTTTCTCATTTGGAACAGAAAGATATTGTATTATCCTATATTCTACTAACCTAATATGCATAATTCCTCATACGCAGCCCACAGTAGAGGATCTATACTCAATGCCAGCTTAAAATGATTAATAGCACTCTTCCTTCTATCGGTGTACCTGAAAGAGATAAATCCCAGTGGAGGAGACAACATTTAAAGAAAACCTTTAAAATCAAGTGATGCAAGCAACAGGCAATATCCTCAAAGGATCAATGATTAGATCAAGGTGAATGACCTGTAAATAAGCCCAAGAAGGTAATGGCCGGCTGCACCATTAGGAATCTGCACAAAAAGCAAAACAACCATGACCAGTTAAGCACCCTCTTCAGAGAAGCATATAAACAAGCACAAAACCACACATCATGCAGCAGCACCGTAGAACTTTAAAATCCCGATGATAAATTAAAAATTGCAGGTCATACCAAGCCACCATGTAATTCCATTTCCTCATGCAAGCTATGTGATGGCCCAGAATGTTTCTTTGTGGGAAGCAAACTCATAAAAGATGATTAAGTGAGGTAGTGCAGGTCATTTAATACCTCTGCAGTAGGCTCGTTAGCAGGACATAATGCAGCTTCAGCTTCACTAAGAAGGTCCATCTGAAAGCATGATATTGCAAACAAGTAGCGGGATTGAGCCAATTGTGTTCCTTCACATAAGAATGATAAGAAAAACTTATTAATGAGAAAAGACATAAAAAATTCACTGTAAAAAATATATATTTGCATAAATAAAGAAATAAAAAAGTAACAAAAACCCAATATTAATGTAATTTGAAAAACAATCAGAAAAAGATGCTATCTCAATACCTCTTAAAATGTGATATGCAGAGTAAGCTTGGTTATTCTGCAAGTAGCAACTAGCTAACAGCTGCAAATTCACCTGCATGACGGAAAAGGGACTGTCAAGCAGTCTCCGAAAACATAACAGAACCAAGAACCATAACCATTGAGCAATTCTGGACAGGTTACTGGCTGGATACAAAACAAACAATACTACTTGAGTTTCATTTAATGCTCCATATACAAGTTCAAAAGCAGTACCAGTGAACCGATGTACAAGAATCCGTCTTGTACTTCAATCCACCACATTTTTCAAAATAAGTAGCCTCCAATGTAAAGACATCTACTGTGCATCTCCGCCCATACCCAATGCTTAAAGCTAAAACATTTTGTTTATATCAAACAAAAGACAAAATCAAATCCAGAAAATGGTTTCTAACTTAAACTAAACTTAAAGCAGACCTAATCAGTAGCAACAGAACTGACAAAAACAAATAGCTATTAAACACAAATCTTTTTCTTTTCACAGAAAAAAATGGCTACCAAACACAAACGTCATATTAATTAGAAGATAGTGCCTTTAAGAGTGAAAGAATCTTTGGAATACGATACCAGAACCAAAGATATTAGACAGCGAAAAATTCCCGAAATTAGTGACTGAGTCAGCAACACATAACGGATCTTAATAGCTCCAGACAGTTAAATTTTTGTCACCAGGAAATTTTGAAAAAGAAAAAGACGAACAAGAACAAACGACGTGAGACTGAAAATAAAACTGTTCTTTAACCCTGAACAACAGTTTATTTAAGGAAAATAAATTTGAAATAATAAAAAGAAACACCTCAGATGGGAACTCAGCACAAAGTCGCTCGCAAAGGAAAATGGCGTTTCTGTACATGAAATGGCGGAGACTGTTCTGTACACAGTCTATCAGTATCGCTTCCATGGCTTCCCTTTTTGATTTACAGAAAGAGAAAGAAATATGTTATAGTTCTTTGGGGGTTCTTTTAGGTTCAAAAATCAAAATTGGGGAGGCACGTGACTTATTCTGTTTTGAAATAAACCACTCACGTGACTGGATTTTTTTAAAATTTGGTAGGACAATCACTTTGTATGGTAAAATATCATATCCAAACCAATACACTGAAAAGTTTAATTTTGTTTGAACTGTTTCATAATTAACAGTATAAACCTTTTAAATTAATTACAAGTTAAGGGTTTTTTTTTTTTTACAATAGTGTGATGAAAGATCAATTATCTATTATATAATTTTAAAAGTTATAAAAGATTTATTTAAAATGACATTTTTTATCTTCTTACTAACTAATATTTTCTTAATCATCTTTATTATTTTTTTTAATAAATAAATTATTTTATTTGTAATGAATATCTTAACGATGATCAAAGTAATTACGAGCAATTATGAAACTGAATCAAAGTTGACTTGATTATTAATAATTCATAAACTTAACTAACTCAATTATTAATATTTTATGAATTTATAATCTATTATCGATCTACATATTAATATTTTTCTTCATTATGTATATATATTTGATATATGATTTACTTGTTATGAATAATTAATATGAGTTTTTCTCAAAATCATGATTTGAAAGTTAAACATGAAGTAGTCTTGCATCTTAAAAATTCACAATTATCTCAATTATTTCCTTTCTTATTGTATATTATAATGAATTAATTATTTTAGAACAAAAATATATCAACTAATTACCCTATTGCATCATCTTCTTTTATTTTCGATAGACTCATTGTCCCAATTATATGCAGATACATTTAGGACCTGTTTGAATGATGATTTAATAAAAATGGTATAATTTTTTCACAATTTTTATTTGATTGTTTGCATTTTTAAATAGATGAAATGATTTTTTACTGGTTGAGTCATGGTCTTCAATACTATAATTTTTTCTATTTTTTCAAACCATTGATTCGGTAGTTTTATAATGATTCGATTATTTTTTTTCATTATATCCTTACATTTTTAATTATATATACATGTATATAATTTATTTAATTATATCGATTGTATTGTATTGTATCTATATATATTTATATATTTAATTATATATAAATACATGTTTATAATATTTTAATTATAAACATGCATATATGTAATACTTTAATATTATATATATAATATATTTATTTATATATATATATCTTTAATTATATATATATGTGTATATTTAACTAGATATATTTCTATATTTAGCACTATATTTTTTTTAATTTTTTCTCTTTTTATTTTTTATTTATTACTATATACAATAAAATATAGATAAAATAGACAATTTGCTCAAATATACAAATATATCATACTGTCAATTCAAACAAAAGCAGATGTTACTACCAGACATTAATAGAATATCATCCAAATATAGTTAAATTTGAACATTAATAAATTTTGTACATACCGAACCGTATTTAACATTAATGAAGCATTATACAAATTATTTAATCAAACCTTTAGATATAGATTATAACGGCTCCGGAAATTTAAAATGAAATATGTGTATTAAAAATGTCAAATGCGGAAGCGAAGTCAAAATTTTGATTAATATCTCTTACACTAAAACCAAAAAACGTGCTCAAAATATAAAAGATCAAACTAACTAAAAGAGAAACTCGAAAGTAAAAGCTATGAATATGACTATGGAGTCTTTAGGCGTCCCCTTCGTCGTCTTCCTGCGGAACGGGCTCGGGAACAATGTCTTCCTAATCTAAAATGATTAAATAAGGAATGAGCTACACTAGCCCAGTAAAGACATCACGATATCTCACCGTCACGGAGGTAAAGGTGGGTAGAAAACACAAAAAGACCAATGGAGCATAATTTACAACAAATCCTTTTATCAATAATAAAACCTTTACCATCCACTTACCTCGGTGAAATTCATAAAACAATATACGAAAGCAATAACATTATCGTCATCATGAAATCATATAAACTGTATAACACAATACTTATCACGCCTTTTGTAATCCAATCATTACACAACATATTTTTCCTCTTTTACCAGCCTACTAGTATCCATGGGGATCCATAGGGGTCCCGTTACCCGTGAACCCTTAACACTTGTAATCAGACTCCAGAGCCGTCCCCATACGTCGTCCGGTATGGGCGTCAAAACTATAAACCTCAATACCCCGTCCGGTATGAGGGTGAAACGGGCCGTCCCCATACCCCGTCCGGTATGGGCGCCAAAACACATAGGGTCTCCATACCCCGTTCGGTATGAGAGACCACAATCCCGGTAGGGTTCCCGACGGACCCGGTCCGTCCACCATCTCCCAGGATATCTAGTCAGGCTGATCACATTGTACAATTATCAATTTACATAACCTTTCATTCCCCTTTTCCTCAGTCAGCATCATCAATTCACACAAACAAGCAAAACAGTAATTTATGCCAAACAAGACAACATACAGCATCGGTTTCTCGATCATTCAACCCATAATCAATAAAATAGTAAAATATGCATACGAAACTATGAAATGAAAACATCAGACCTCATACTGTATTTAAAACTGTAAAATAGGCCAAATAACAGTTAACCCACAAACACACTAGACCCGGGCTCCATTAGCGACCTTAAGCAATTTCACGCATTTGTTGATTCAAGAAATACCGTTTTATTATTATTGAACTTTAATACCGTGATAGGAAATAGGGTGAGAGGTCCTTACACGTTTCGGGGTCCGAACACGGCTTCACAGTGCGCTTACAGGCTGTCCCTAATTTTTCCTGAATTTTTTCCGGGGAACTGAAACGCACTATTGGTACCTGTACGTGTTCCAAAAAATTCTAAATTAGACCCAGGGCCCCTTTCGGCTAATATCGCAATTCTAGCACGGCGGCTCCGCCGTGCTCCGGCGACGGCGCCGCCCAAGCGGCGGCGATTCACCTCGGGTTGGCCGTTTTCGGCCGTTTCCGGCCGAATTTGGCCACACTTACATCGGTCCCTGTGATAAAACAACCCTAGGGCCCTCGGGGGGCCAAAAAATTACGAAAAATAGAAGCTTACCGGCGGCGGTGCTCTCGGGTACGGCAGCTCTCCGGCGAGGTTCGTGTTTTGGTGATTTGGCTCCGATCAACCTGTAGAGAAAAGAATGGTGATCACGGTAATATAAAAATTGCGTCAAACGGAGGCCGGGAAGGGCCTCATCGGAGGCAAAAACTGAGGAGGGGCGCGGCAGCGCCGCTGGGTTTCGGCCGTATTTTTCGGCCGTTTGGCCGGAATTTTGGCTCCGATTTGGCCACAGGGGAACTCAGCGTAGAAAAACGAGTTGGGGGTATGAAATTTACCTCGATCAGCGGTCGAAAATCTCCCCGGTGCGGCGACGGGTGGTGGCGGCCGGCTCCTCCGGCGTCTGGTTCGTCTTCTCCGGCGAGGGCAGGCGGCTAGGGTTTTTGTGGTCAGGTGTGGGGGTTCTATTTATACCCTTTTGCCTTTTGATCTCAGCCGTCCATTTTGATTAAATCTGGGCTGTCCGTTTTTTGATTGAATCTGGACCGTCCGTGCGCGTGCATCTGGGCCGTCCGTGCGATTGCATCTGGGCTGTCCGTGCGCACGCTTGATCTGGGCCGTCCGTGCGTGCGGGGACGCATCTGAGCCATCCGATCGCCCACGTGGCCCGTCCCCGGGTCGACGTGGTCTTGCCACACGGCAGGTCCTGGTTGGCCAGGGCTGCTGACTGGGCCACTGACGTGGCTGTTGACGTGGCGCTCTTTTTTTTTAAATTAAACTTAATAAATAAAATTAATAATATAATAACGAAAATGCCCAATTATTTGGGCGTTACAACTCTCCCCCCCTTAAAGAAATTTGGTCCCCCAAATTTGCCTCTTACTCTTGATCGAACAGATGGGGATACTGGGCTCTAAATTCTGATTCCAGTTCCCAAGTAGCCTCCCTGGGCGTGTGGTTCTGCCACACAACCTTTACAAATGATATTTTTCGGTTGCGGAGTATTCTGCTCTCTCGGTCCGTGATACCGACCGATACTTCTTCATAAGACAAGTCCTCTTGGAGTGGGAGCGGTTCATGAGCCAAGACATGAGAAGGGTCCGGGTTGTACTTACGTAGCATAGATACGTGAAATACATTATGAACCCGGGAGAGCTCAGGAGGCAGTGCAAGTCTGTAGGCAGCGGTACCAATCTTGTCTAAGATTTCAAATGGTCCAATATATCTGGGGTTTAATTTTTTCCTCCTGCCGAACCTACTAATTCCCTTGAAAGGAGTGACCTTAAGAAATACCCGGTCGCCTCTCTCAAAAGCTAGGTCTCTCCTCCGGGTATCTGCATAACTCTTCTGCCTACTCTGAGCTGTCTGAATGTTCTTCTTGATTTTAACTATCTCGGACGTGGTCTCCTCTACCAACTCCGGGCCGAACAATCTTCTATCGCCCACTTCCTCCCAATAAATCGGTGACCTGCACGGGCGCCCGTATAACGCCTCATATGGAGCCATGCCGATGCTTGCTTGGTAGCTGTTGTTGTAGGCAAACTCTATCAGGGGTAGATGATCGTCCCAATGGCCCCCCGAGTCAAGGACACAAGCTCGGAGCATATCCTCAAGCGTACGAATTGTCCTCTCTGATTGTCCATCAGTTTGGGGGTGGAAGGCAGTACTAAGAGACATCTTTGTTCCCTTAGCTTGCTGGAAACTATTCCAAAACCGAGAAGTGAATCTGGGGTCCCTGTCGGATACCACTGTCACTGGGACTCCATGCAGTCTGACTATCTCCCGGATATACATTCTTGCCAACTTGTCCAAAGAATCAGTCATTCTGATGGCCAGGAAGTGGGAAGACTTAGTGAGTCGGTCAACAATTACCCATATAGCATCATGTCCTGATCGTGCCTTGGGTAGTCCCGATACAAAGTCCATGGTGATATATTCCCACTTCCACTCTGGAATCAGTAAAGGCTGAAGTAACCCACCTGGGC